AATCCTTCTTCTTATCTTTGCCAGTGTTTAGGCACTAATCCTGCTAGCATTAAGGCTGCTTCAGCCGAGACAGTGCAGTAAAGCTTTGGGATCTTTTGATATGATTTTATTCACACATACAATCACGGGCAACATTGAAACACTTTATCAGCCGATACCCAAAGGGGCCCAGCAACATTTTTTCAATTGTTTATTCAATCGTTAAGCCCATTATCTCACTTGATAATTAACTTCCATTTTCATTGACCATTAAACCAAAAAGATAAATTTGTATCACTCCTTAATTCATAGCCGAGCTGTAATTTTCTTCTTTAAAAGGCAATCTAGCGATTATGCGTTAATTTATACGAGCACCGCGAACCTAAATGATGTAGTTGTGCGTTTGGATTGGCGAAACATCAAATAAGAAATTAGTGCTTCAATGATCGGTTGGAGTGAGCGATTATTGCACGTAGTTGTTAAATTTTGCACCAGCAATAAAAGTGCATGGGAAAATGTGGAAATGTTTTAATCGAATTGATTAAGAAAATCCCCTGCTAAAATCGTAAATAATATCTTTGTCATTGATCGATAACGAGAAATTTTCATTGCGCTGAGAAAGTAACAATTTAGTCGAAAATTCGTGACCGAAAATAAAATAAAATACCGAGTGCCGTTCGAGGCAGAGCTCTTAAATGATGATGAAGTTACAAAATCCGGTTCTCTCTCGGACCGAGGGTATAATAAAGTCGTTAATCATAGTTACTTCTAAAAACCTGCCCTAGGCCGATATTCAATCTGTATACTCGCCTCGGCAACAAAGCCAAGGTACATACTAAAGAAGGTGCGCCTGTTTCTCCAATAAACTTATTCAACAACCAATATCCTTCCCAAAATTAAATCTTTAAGCAAACTTGCATTATCTACATCTAAACCAATCATCATCCTTTCCTCCAAAACTTCAACATCTAACGACTTCGTTTCGTTTCGTCAGCACACCTCTTCATCTCCAACATGTCTGGTCACTAAATCTAGACGGCTCATTCCGTCTCGCTTGCCCAGCCTTCTATTTAAATTTATAATTGTTTCATTTTGTAATCTTGATGCAGTCTCCCCGCGGTGTTGCCGGATCGACGATAATTACTTTATAAAGACCTCAACTCATCCATCAACGAAATGTTCGATAAAGATACACCAGATTATTAAATTTGATATTGAATAACCATTTCGGCTTTAATAATTTAGATAACCCGTGTGGTAATAAACGATTTTAAATGGAATACCGTGTTTTAACATAATCCCATCAATTCTAAAGCGTATTGTTGTTTATGGTCTATTGGCAACGCTGTTTCTTCTACTTGAGCTCTCTCAGCTTGGTATCTGTCGAGTTCTCTCTATTTTGGGTTGGTCAAGCGGGAGTTAGGTGAAATTTATAGCCCGAAATAATTATGATAATGGAATAGTCGTACAGAGTTCTTCTGAATCGTTAATCCCCGAAGCACCACCACAAGATTTATAGGCGATCCCAGTTTCAGATAATAACATATTTTATTTTTTATCGGCTGTTTGAATATTTTTTTGTCCTGTAGTTTAACGTATAAATTAAGATGTAGAAATAGACTTATGCCTAAATTATTCAAAGGAGGTAATAAAAATTATTTTATTGGATAGTTTGCATCTCATTTAGGTTTTTCTTAGACACCTTTTTCCCTAGAAATATCCTGAGAAAGCAATTAGAAAAATCCTAATGATAATTTTATAACAGGTGGCTAAAAGTAATTACTTTTTTTCTCGAACAAGACAATGGGCAATACTTCATCTACCTCTCCAACAATTTAATTTAACGTCCGAAAAGGTAATGATAAATCTTATTTACTTAAAAAATGCGTAATTAATTTAGAAGTGTCAGTGCGTTTTAACAAAACAATCTCGAGCATGTTTATGCCCACGTAGGTCCGCCTCGACATTCCCAACCAGTTTGTTTCGTGGACAGAAGAGAAATATCCACTTGATACGAGGGCCCATTCGAATCAAAAGCCTCCGATAGCATCTCCATCTTTTAAGACCCCGTACCCTGATCCAAAGTCCCAAACTCAATTGGAAATTTAATTTGATTTGACTAAAATTATTTTTTAAAACCGACCTGTAATTTGGTTAATAAAGAGGAAGTACCTTCATTACTTTCAGCAATGTCTGTTTTTCTTTGATTCAAATTTGTGATTCGTTTCACTGTGCGCCGTCCATTTAAGGGATGGCTTTCCTCCAGCAACAATGCCTTAATTCTTTTTGAAATAATAATGGGCCCTTCAAAACCTATGCAGGTAGAAAGCTCGTTAGATCGTCACTCCTAATGATTGTTCCTTTTTCTTCTTTCTTCCGCGTAAATTAAATAAATTCATGATGGGATAATAGCCTCTGTGACACTTATTGAGAGCTTAAAGGACAGGTATTCAGTGGGTTACGGGTTCTCGGAAAATAAACCTAAACAAAGTTGCGCCTGTAAGCAATCATTTTGTTGAATTACATTGTTTTCTTGTTGCAAGTTTTGCTTGCATCACTTTTCTAAAATAAACACGTACGAGGTAAAGCTGTTGGGAAAAAGAATAGGTACGGCACAATATACGAGTACGTCCAGTAATAAGATAAGCGTCTGCGAGCAGGCAAATAATTGCCACTGGCCACAAAGTTTACACGGCCGTGTCGTGAACGGTCGCAATCGAAACCTGCGATCTTCAATTAAATATTCATGAATGGAGTTTACACATGACTCTTCGCTAGCTGAGCAACCAGATCTCTTTTCCACGGCCTTTTTGCCCATACTAAACTGAAAGGACATGCGAATAAACCAAACATGAACTGCATTCAATTGATAGAGATGTGCTTTCTGATGAATCACTTAAAAAATCATAAGAGAATAAAATTGTTTTCGATAAAGATCATCCTCTTGCTGCGAGTAATGACTGCTCATTATATGCTTAATAAGATTTGTTACTTTATTTATCCGACGCGCATTTTTCTTTCAAACACTTTACGGAAGAAATACACTCAAGACCCAGCTACTTAGCAAAGTAAGTGAGCCAGCGAGCAGTTGGCCATGATCAAGATACGGGAGCACGGTTGCCAATTAAAGGAAAGTGTCCCACCCTCGTGTTCGTTTGCTCGAGACCAAGATTACTATTCCTATGTTGGCCGCACTGAGTCTCGGTGTTAATGGCCCAGTTTAATCGGTTTGCATTAATTCTCCACTCTCGCTTGAACCCTATATATTACGTCCACCGCAGAAGGGCTTAATTAGTACATGCTTATTGAATATTTATACAGTGGACAGGAGGACAATTTTGTAACCATTAATTAACTTTGTTTAAATTGGCAGATTGATATTGTTCTTTTTGTGGTAATAAATTTAACAACACAGAACCGGGTTCATCGGACATAATAAAAGGAAGCGAATAAACTAATAAAATGTAAGTGAGCGGCCTGACCAGCTATGAAAGTTGGAATCAGGAATCCAATCACAGGCAATGAGATCTGTGACATTTTATTTACTAATTAAAACATTCTTCTTCATTCAGCCTTATTAATTAAGGAAGAACATAATTAACCAAACTTGTAGTTAACTAAAAATGTAAACAAAAGTAATATGAGGTTTTGACCTTAACTTCAAAACAAATTTACGATGATTCGTTTTTAGTTTACGATTATTACTAAGACATATAAAGTTTACAGCTTGTTCTTTATTAAAATAGATTTGTTTTTACATTATGCATGTAAGTGAAATCCGATACGTACGCAGGCTGAACCGAACAAGAGTGGAAAAAGAACGAGTTCGCATCTTTTATCGGACTGCATTTAGCAACCCAACCTCCCACAGCCGAGGTGAGAACTTACACAGTCGATTTGATCGAATGGGTGCGTGCCAACTAAATATATTTCCGAAACACCCGATAAGGTTTCTTGCGGACAATTATTGGTTTTCGGTGTATAATTAAAACCGCGGGCTTGGGGCCGTCAACCTCAACATTTGAACCGATTCTTTCACACTCCGCTACCAAGTTTAATGATTAACATGGTAAATACATCATTGGAATTAAGTAGGAAGTTTAATAATGAATGACTGAACGAAGAAACGTTATTGAAAAAATGTCATAGCAGCTGTTCGATGTGTTTGTAAATTCACGTCAATCAACTCATTGAAGATGTAAAGGAATAATTAGTTCATGTTTAGGTTTTTTCCATAACTTCAACATCTGCTGCTTAAAATTTGTAGTTGATGAATTAATTTCGTGTACTTCAGTCAACTTGATTAACACATAAAAAAGCGATTAGCGGCTATCGAACCTGAGTGAGCGATCCGGGTAATTTACGACGCGCTGCTCGCTTCACAGAGCGCAATAATAATTTACCTCATTATCGGGCATCTACACAAATAAATCGCGCTGCGCCGTCATCAATCAAATACCGATCACAATCGTGGCGGTGCCTCAAGGTTATGACAGCGGACCAGAATCACGGCTTTTCGGGACCATTTCGTTATATACCCGTGTATAAGTTGCTTGTACGTGGTGGTCGACGACCTCCGCAAGAATTTATGATAAATCGATTCGAATTTTTTCGGACAAGATATTTACATTGTCCGCGCAAGATGCACGAGTTTGTTCAAGAAAGGTGTAGTACTGGTTTATCAAGCAAATTTAACAACAATCTATTTAATTGAGTTTATACTTTTTCTCAAGGTTTGTTGAACCATTTTTTATTGGTCTAGTCGCATACGAATTAATTCAGATGTCACCTGAAACAAGTTTAATCTTAATTGCGTTTAATTAAATGTTAATCAAGCTGTTGAATATTCATAATCGCGGCAATCTTTCAGTTCTTCATAAAAAGTACGATGCATTAAAACCTACCAATCAAGCTCTCTCAATTTTGAGATGAAGATAATACAATTTGGTCCATTAAATGCCCTCTGCAAATGCTTCCAAATTTTCCAAACTTAAGAATTGATTGGAACATTTTAAGTTAAAATGAAGCCGAGTACAAACAAAATCCTTAAAATTCTTCGTTTGCGAGTGCGCACGAAAGAAGGCAAATTAAGAAGACGTTATTCCCGAAGGCTGCAGGCTCAGTTAATGATGGCGGTCGTAAATTTCCGATTTTACGAGGACCACTTTTTCCAATCGACTCGGGAAGAATTTATGTCTTTATATTCATTGTTAATCGCCGGTAATTATAAGTTGCTTATTCCGCTAATTGCGATGGATAAAAAGATGAGGAGGGCTTTTAAATGGCAATAAGAAAGTAATTACTGCGAGGATTATTTATATTTATGATTAGGCGGTCTAACTTAGTTAACTATTTTTATTAACGTGTTTTATTTTTTGTTGCAGTGTCGGTGGTAGCCCAGGAGGAGGTCTCCAACTTTTGGGAAGGGACCTGCATCCTGCGTACCGATTGCCACCTCACATGGAGTACCTTTATTCCCTTCAGCATTCCACCAATAACTCAATACACGGTAAGTAAATGTTGGTAAATAATGTTACTCCTCCTAAACTAATTAATTACGGCCGCACCATTTCCTCCGTTGCGGCATCTTTTCTCCATCTGCTAATCCACTTAGGAATGAAAAACAGCCGTCATAAAATCGGATTAAGCGGAATAATATTATAACGAATAAATTATCGTATTTTTAATAGAGCCGGATATTAAACGAGGGCCATCGATAAAGCTTTAATTTTACGACACTCGGCCATGTTTGGAATCAAGCTGAGCTCGACCAGCATACATTTTATTAGAGTTATTAAAATTTCGAGACAACCTGAGACCACAATAATGACTTTTACGGCTCTCCTTGTGTCACCATTCTCAACTTTGTTTCAAATAGCAGAAGAAATTCTATAAGGTCACTTTTCATTGCTAAACATCAATGTTATCTTCAGTTAACTAAAACCATCTGCCCAGCCCGAATGTCGTCTCCAGTAACCACTTCAGAGGTAACTTAATGTTTACAATGTGCAATAAAAATGAGGAAAATATACCATATCTTTACGATGTCTGTCTCCTGCATCTGGTTCATCTAAATCTGTGCCTTTCCGTACATCGTCGTATAGTTATTTCGGTTCAAAATGGTCGTGTTTTATTGTTTTATCCGCTCTGCTCTTCTATTATTGGTACGCTGAGTTTTATTGCTCTCCAGTCAAACAAATATAATACCAAATCAAACAAGCAAACGTTAGAACATTTATTATGATACCTACATTTAACTAAAGGAAATGAACTGTAAAAATTGATCTAACACAAGACGTAATTTCGGTAGCAATGTAATATTCAATTAAATCCATTACTACATAACATCACGAATTAGATTTAAGTGCGGTATCGAATATACGAAAGGTTTTCGACAAACCGTTGCCCTCACGCTATTTTAAGTCCTATCGAGAGACCCCCGCCTTGGTTCACAGAAGAGCTAATTTTAATATTTAATATCTAATGTTTACAGGAACGTCTCAATAAAATAGAGCATAATCTTCAAAACAATAAATTCAAGACAAAGCACTCCCCCTTCTCAAAATCGCATATGATTTCTGCTCGACAGGGTTATTAAAACAAAGACATTTGTAAAGTGAGCATGCGGGTAGATGATAATCGATTGTTCCTGTTTCTTGTCGTACAATGGGCATTTAAAAAATTGGGGGCCCAACATCCGGGGCAGTGGAGGCGTTAACATGGGTTAAACACACGAGTACAGCTCTGTGACAATTAATAAACGTGCAGTGGTTTTGCATAAATGGTTTTGACGTTTAAATAAAGAATCATAATTGCCTTTATGAATACATTAGGTTGTCCGGGGATTTTTAATTTGAAATTTTACCCCTGGGTTATGTATTTATATAAATATATATTTATTAATCTAAAAATAAATAGTTTTTTATTCGTTTAATGATTTATTTTCGTAGCGCATATGTTAGTTTACACTTGTATATTGAATTTCAGTTGATTGTTTACATGTGCTGTCTGTTTGTTTAAACAGCACGGAGAAATGTGTTGATGATATTTATTTACGGCTCTGTAAAAGAATAAGGTGAAATTGTTACGGAACATTAACAAAGTTTATTAGAAAAAGTATTTTTTATGTTTAATTTTTCCATTAAACTAAATCTTATCTTAACGAAGCGTTGAATTTCCACGCGTTTACTTTTAACAAATGAGCCGAATCGATGTAAACCATTAGGCTGATATGTTCATCTGGTCTGCTTAGTCAAACTTGCGCGACCCGCACATCATTTAACTCTTTTCCGTCTCATTTCTACGCCTAGAAGAGGGATTTATTAATTGCCCCGACGTTACGCGCAATAAAATTGAGCGATCGCTTTCTAGACGTCAACAAACTCGAAGCTACGGGATTAAATTAGCCCGCTGCTGACGCACCATCCATCATATCTCGCGGCTTCCTCCGGATTTCGTTAGTTTAAGTACCTTTACCGTTTTTTAAGATTTGGAGACGTCGGGTGATGAATTTGTTTCGTTAGTAACGCAAACTTCGAATTAGATCTGCCATGGCGCCTAGCATACTGTAATATATCAAGCTGCCATTGTTTTGTAATAAAAAATTGTTTTTGCAGGTTTAGGAATAAGTTCAGAGTATCTCAGCGCGAGAGGTCTAACAGAACTGCATCCTTCTTCCACGTTGGCTAGCAGCGAATTCCCCTTTAGCATAGATGGTAAGTTGATGTAAAACCATCTTATGAGAAGATATTTAACTTGTGTTTTCTTGTTTTATAGGATCTCGGCTGAACAGCCCCCGTCCAGGGAGCATTCGGCAGTCGCGGAAGCGCGCCCTCTCCTCCTCCCCTTACTCGGACTCCTTCGACATAAACTCGATGATCCGATTCTCTCCCAACTCCCTCGCGTCGATCATGAACGGGTCGCGATCTTCCAGCGCCAGTGGATCCTACGGTCATCTATCGGCCGGCGCGATAAGCCCGGCCCTCAGCATGCACCCTGGGGTGCACCTGCAGCAACTCCAGGCGCACCTGATGAGGAGCGCCGGGTCGCTGCTGCCCCTCCCGCACGCCGCGCCTCCCCCGCACCCCATGTACTCCCTTGGACACCATCCGTTGCACGTGTCTTCGCACAATGTTTGTAAGACTGAGACATTAAGTGATAGGAAAAAATCCGACACGAGTACGCTCACGCAGCTGGACGTTGATTCGGCGTCGCTACGAAAACATAAAATCAAGAAGGAACCTTCGCTGGTGAATTGTAATACCAACGATGGCCACAATGACCCCACAGACCTTAAAGACGAACCAGGGGATTTCATTGAGACTAACTGTCATTGGAAAGACTGCTCGACTGAATTCGGTACACAAGATGAACTAGTTAAGGTAAGAATCCATAAAATACATAATAATTAATAATATAAAAGGGTTTTATAAAATTATAATGAATGTTCTTTTTATTCCAGCATATCAACAACGACCACATTCATGCAAACAAAAAGTCTTTTGTATGTAGATGGGAAGGATGTTCGAGAGCGGAAAAACCCTTCAAAGCTCAATACATGCTGGTGGTCCATATGAGAAGGCATACGGGCGAAAAACCCCATAAATGCACGGTAAGCCTTTCACCTTTTATTCTTTTTTCAACCCTTATCAACAATGTAAATTGCGAAATATTAACAACTATTTTTTTTGTATTTTAGTTTGAAGGGTGTATAAAAGCCTACTCACGATTGGAAAATCTTAAAACGCACTTAAGATCTCACACTGGCGAAAAACCATACACCTGCGAATACCCTGGATGTTCGAAGGCATTTAGTAACGCTTCTGACAGAGCGAAACACCAAAACAGAACGCATAGTAATGAAGTAAGTATAATAAACCCAACCATACTCATACTTAATTACCTGACAAACATAATTTAACTTTCTGCTTACTAACAATGGAGATTGTAAGTTATATGTATATTAAGAAGAATTAATTTTCCTTTTATCACTTAACCTGTATTAATAGTACGTTTTCTTTTCTAGAAACCCTATGTGTGTAAGGCACCAGGTTGTACAAAACGGTATACAGATCCTAGTTCGCTAAGAAAACACGTGAAGACAGTTCACGGAGCTGATTTCTACGCAAAGAAGAAGCACAAGGGCTCCGGTGATGGTCCCAATGATGACGGTCCAGCCGGCCTGGACTCCAGTCCTCGGAGCGAAGACATGCAGAGCCACAAAACCGCGAGTCTCAGCAGTCCGAGCATCAAATCCGAGTCCGATCTCAACTCGCCCGGACATCACCAACAAGGCAGTCCTTTGGGTGCCACACAACTCGCTGGTGGATGCCCGGAAGATTTCAACTTGGAGCCTACACAAAGAACGGAAGCTGTGGATGACACGTGGCAATATGATGTTGACTTGGAAATCGACGAGCTTCCGAATGTTCTTAGGAGTATAGTTGGAATTGGTGGTCCCGATCGAGGAGGTGTGGCAATTCAAGACCGCACACCGCGTGTCAGAATGAAGCCAAGAATTTCCTCTGTAAAACCTTCACCCATCATTCCCATGCACGGTCCTGGTAGAAAGTTCGGCATTAACGATCTTAACCAAAAGATTAACCACCTGAAGATGGAGGATAGAGGTGTTCCGCAAACTAATCTTCCCCAGCAAAGGTTGCATCCTTCAGGAAACCTGACTCAAGTACAAATAAGGAGAGATAGCACCTCTACGGTGGGTTCATCTCACTACGGAAGCATGAAAAGTGCTGATGCCAGCAGAAAGAGTAGTTTGGCATCGCAGGCTTCCAGTATGCGTCCAGGAATGGGACAAGGATCCTTCTACGATTCTGCTATTTCCTCTAGAAGGTCAAGTCAATTGAGTAACGCGACCACTGGAGGAGTGTCAGTTCCTCCTGCTCCACCATCTCATCTTCTAGTAGGACAATTACAAAAGCTCCAGAACTCCCCAACAAGGACGAACTCGAATTTAGTACTACAGGTAATTATCAAACCATAATGGTCAACAATGTATATTATAATTAATTTTTAAATTTGACTAATTATATTAATTTTTTTCAGACTCAAAACATGTCCCTGCAACAAACTGCAATCCAGCAAACCTGGCATTCGGGATTAATGTCTGATAGTGTAAGAGCATCAAATACAACTGCAGCAAGTACCGATACGACAAGGCGTATGTCTGAACCATGTCACACCATAACCGACAGAAAGAGCCCACCACCAAGGCCTGCCTCTGTTACGCTTTCACCCTTGAAGGGAACCCTTAGTTCCACGGAACTGCATCCTAATCAAGCGGTGGTATTGGACGAAGTGGGAGAAGGTGAAATGGTCGAAAATAAGTTGGTGATTCCTGACGATATGGTGGTATATTTAAACCAAGTTGCCGATAACCAAAACACCGAATTCACCCACATGAGCTGGTGCGAATCTTCTCCAAAACCTCCAAATCAGATGATGCCACCTTCCCCTCCCCAATTCTCCGCAGCACCTCCAGTTCAAAATCAACCTGCACCTGCACCTGCACAAATTAAACCGCCTCAATCTGCGGCAAACTTAAATCAAATGATACCAAGCCCGTCGGTTAATCTGAACCAAGTGATGCATTCGCCATCGACAAACTTAAACCAGATGCTGCCGTCACCGGCATCCACATTGAACCACATGATGCCTTCACCGGGTGCCAACCAAATGGTTCATTCTCCTGCCACCAATCTCAATCACCAAGTGATGTCGCCGCAGTCGGTTTACAATCAAATGATGCCATCCCCTTCATCGAACTTCCAAAATCCGATGTTGTCGCCTGCACCTAGCGTGCACCAGATGGTTCCATCTCCGGCGCAAACTAACTTAAACCAAATGGTGCCTTCTCCGATGTCTGTAAGATGCCATCCTCATCTAATGTCTCCCGGCACAACGATACATTCCATGCCATCACCCGCAATGTCTCAAAGTCAAATGATGGGCAACCAAATGGGTTCACAGCAGCCGTGCTATACCAGACCAATTAACCACAATGGCTGCTACGTACCACATCCCAATAACAACTGGGATCAAAATAGGATGTGCCAGAACCAAAGTCAAATGTCACAGCAGCAAAGCATGTGCGGTAGTGAGTACAACAACCCACATTGCAGGCCAATGCCAATGAACAATGGTTACAATCAATGTCAAAATCATGCCAACTATCAGATGTGCAACCAGAACAACGTTTACTGTAAACCGATGAACCAAAATTATCAATGCAATACATATCAGCAGAACCAAGGTTATAACTGCATGCCGAACATGACTGAACCGCTTACATCCCCTGCGATTGCGACTCCAGCACCGACGGAAATGATGAACCAGCCCCAACAGGCGCAAATGACGAGGCCGTGCACCCACTACAACAGCCAGAACTGCTATCAGCCACCTTACAACGGCAACGGGCAGTGCATGCCGAACTGCAACTGCAAAAACGGTCCTTACCCTCAACAAAGCAAGTGCTTCCAGAGGTGCGGCAGCGAGATCCAATGCAAAGACGTCAGTCAGTCGCAAATGTCGCCTGGAGTAGCGAATGGGGCGCCGAGCGTGCAAAACGGAGGGCTGACTACGCTGGGAATGCGGCAGGACACCTACCAAAGAACTTTGGAGTACGTGCAGAATTGCCAATCGTGGGTGACGGGTAATCCCGAATCGGTGACGAGCAGCACGCATCCAGCCGCCGCTGTTGGGGAGCCAACCCCTGTCCCACCCTCCTCCAACATGGTAGTGAACGACATGACGTCGTCGCTAAGTTCCCTTCTCGAAGAGAACCGGTACTTGCAATTGATTCAATAATACTGTTTTTATAATTTCTGTAAAAATGTACATATTGTGATATTAATGTTGTAATTACGAGTTGAGTGTATTCGAGCAATATTTAATTAGAAGGCTTTAACTTTTTTTTTGTTTTTGTGAATAAGATGAATTCTATGTGAATGTGTAAAATAAATAAATGTTTAATTTCAAATTTGTAAAACAAGCTATTATTTATGTTATTTTAGTTATTCGAGGGATCACGACAAAGATCTCAAATAGGTTTAAGGACAATTACTGCCATGACAAATATTGTTGTATATTACATAATCTGTAAGAGTTTTATATTTCTATTTGCAATGAAGATATTTAACAAAATAAATGCTTAAAAATAATATGGCTTTTATTTTATAACTCCAATTAAAATGATATAAACATTTTTAAATAAAATTATGTAAGTAAACTTCTTAGGTATCGCTATGAGCGCCATCTATGGCTCCTTAAGTACCTCAATATAGTAAAGAAAGAAGAATCCTTTTTAAACGTTACGAGCTTGCTTTCTTTAACGAAAGATCTTTTATTATAAATTATAATGTTATATTTTAATCAATTTAACAGGTGTGTTTATTTACTTATTGGTTTATTTATTTATAAGTGTACATAATAACTTACAAATTTAAATATTTGTTAATTGCAGATTAGTTTAACTTTTTGATGTTAAATTTTACAATTTATTAATGTTGCGGTTCATAAACACCTCTTTCTTATCATCCTAACGGAAACCCGAACATTACCTATTCTGTTTCGCTTATGTTTGGACCCTTGATATTTTTAGGACAGAGTATCTTAGTTTTATAACCACTTATAATAAAAAACGCGTCATATAAGGAATAAGAAATACGGAATAGGGAGAAGCAGAAAATCCACTCAATGACGTTGAGGACAAATTATTAGCCCCATCCTGGACTCGGCATTGAGCATAGGCTAATTAATAGGGCCCCTTCTACAATAGAGAGGCTAAAGACGCCAAGAGGTCAAGAAAAAGTGTAACAGAAGTATTAAAAAGTATTTCAGAAACAAAGACAGATTGATGATGGATTAGTTTTATTCCCTCCTATAGCCCAAACTTTGAATTGTCACACTACCATTTGCATCATTATCTTTAAACAAATTTTCTAAATAATAATAATATTTATGGACATCCAATTAAAATACAATCAAACAACATCATAATTAAACTTGACAACACGATATTTAACCTATTTGCTTCGAAGAAAGGCAATCAACTTTGAGGCGTAGGTTTAAAATTATTGTTCACTGAATTTCTGGGTCATCGTGTTTTTTTGAGAATGATCACACAATGGCACACAATCAGGCGCATTGTCCTTCTTAGTTGACAAACATAATTTGCCATCCCGAATATTTTTGCCGGACAGATACGTGATTAAGTTTAATAACATAACCAATATGGGATAAAATGGATATAGTGGACCATCATTTGCAGATTTCAAGTTCAAATGGCCTCCAAGAAGCTCTGATTTAACATCTGTAGACTTTTTTGTGGAGTTATTCGATAATTAAGTAATCATATCATAATGAAAAACGTATTTAACATTGATCTCTGTGAAGGACGCACTAACAATGCTAATGAACTTTAGATGAAAGCAACCTGTTTTAATTAAATAAAAATATAAAAATAATTTAATCACATTGTAAATTAAAAGGTTTATTTAACTCTCGTACAGAATTTCTAAAGATGATGATAAACTATTTCTTTTCATGATTCATTTTATGTACGCCTCTGAATCCGAACATTACATATTTACAAAGTAAAATTAATCATATGACCTAGAAATTTGAACTTTACTACAGGTCGGTACGCAAAGGATTATTTAAGATGGTCTTAAGCGCTACCTGTTATGTTAAATACTTTTTTTTTACAAATGGATTACGCCTTTTAATCTAGGCTAAATCAGTTTAAATATTGGTATTTTAAAAGTAACCATAAGTTTCTATTAAATTAAGGACTAATATATTAGGCCGTTCCAACATTCACCATATTTTTAAAATTATTAACTAAATTATCAAGTGATTGCAAATCGATATGTCACAAATATCCTTTAGAAAGTCACTTTTATTTATTAATTGGCAATACAAAATATTAATTGCATTAATTAAATCCATATTTTACTAAGACCTTTTACTTACCGAACGACTAAATTGTACATTTCATAAAACAGTAAAATTTAAGATTTGGAAAAGCGTCTTGTTGGGATGTGCTTTGCACCGCGTGACTACCCGGCACTAATAAGCTCCAAAAGACCGGAACATACTGTCGCAAAGCACATTCGAAACAAAAGCACAGTGGCCAGTTTCTCGCAAGTCTTGACATGATTAAAAATCCAAAAAATTAGCTTATCTATATAATAAATCTCGAAAGAAAGTAAAACACCGAAAACCAGGTAATTTATCAAACGAAGAAAAAATCTATTGACCTCATTCCATCAGCAAATTAACATAAATCCCAGCATTTAATTCGAGACGTATTAAAAACTAGAATGGCTACAACAAACAACAACAGCCGCTTAGGAATGCCTGAACACAAAAATCTACTTTCTACGAAATACTGGAAGAACAATAAAAACGAACTAGCAAGAGTTTTATGTGTTTGAACAAGGAACTTAATTCAAAAGAAAGGATTTCTTTTTCATCAAAGGTATAATAAATCAAGTAGGTTTACTGCTTATGGCCTCAACTGCACTTTCTTACGATTTTTTTTATAAATTTTGACATAACATTAAATAAACAGAGAACTAACACTCTTTTTAAACAGCGAAATGAACTAGTCACATATGTGGAAATATACATAAACATAACCTACATTTTTACATCGTAACCACGGTCTCCCATGTAGCAAGGTGACGTCAAATTAACGTCATATTAACGTTAAAATTACGATTTTTGTACCTCAATATTACGTCAGAATTATGACTAACTTATAGATCTTAAATATAAGTAAATAAAACACCATATTACTATAAACTTATAATCAATATAAATTTTTCCTATTTCCAATTTGACAACAGAATAATTATTGTCGACAAAGAACAGTACATACGTGAGTACTCCATTTCACTGACTAAAAAGTTTCGAAAGAATACATTGTTTACCTATACATACGTATGTTAATTTTAAGGTCACAAAAAATTTGCATTTAAAAAATAAATAAGAAAAAAATAATGCTTAATTAGTGTTACAGGTTGGAAATTCCAACTTGGAATTAGAATTTCTTGGGAATCTACTGGCGTTAAAATCTCAAATTTTTCTGTGTTAATTGATATAGAAGCAGTTTTTCGCAGTAAAAGAAAATGTGTATGGGTGATTCTACAAAAGTTGGACAACTTGATTTCATCAGTCAATAGAGTATACATACTATAGGTATTTTAATATTTTTTGTAAATATTTTAGTATATTACAAAAGATCCAAGTTTTTTTAACTTGTCCACCCAATTTTAATGTATTTTTTCAGAAGCACGTTTGTAGAAAAACATATTAAATATTCAAAACATCAGTACCTTGGCGTGTCACAACTCCTGAATCAAATATGTAAGTAATTTTATTTTAAAATATATTCAATTTATCTTAAATTTTTCAATTTTACTACAAACTATAAAACATTAAATAATGTATTTTTCATATTTTATCATAGATTCGAATAATAGCAATTTTTAAAAAATTGATAATCTGTGTACTCACTTTCACCCGTCAGTTCTGTGTCCAATGTTAAAATTCAAAATTCCTGCAAAATATTGAAGTTTAAACGTCAAGTCCTCGTTTTAACTCAAGTATTGGTAAAAAAATTACCTACATAGCATGCCCTTTGCACGACAGTCATCTTGAAAACAATGCAAGCGGCGAAGTTGTGATGAATGCACGTAAGTTCCAGTCAAAATTTCAGTACTGTGGTGAGTAGTTATTTTCTTACGTATATATATTTCATTGTAATTTATATTAATCCACTCATAAACAATATTAGTAAAATACTTAATTCCGAATTATAATCTCAAATTAGTATCCCATTCATCAGTACCGTGACATCTTTTTTTCGCAAACTTCAATTTAAATTCTGCTTGCGCAGAACTTGTTTATTTAATGTCATTATAAACTCATATAAATTTGGTGTGGGTCCCATATCTAATAATTGAGACATCGGTATACCCAAAATCCACCAGCCGCCACTGATGTGTGGTATTATTTGATTTTAAGATATTTAATGTATAATATGCTCAAAGTTGCAATAAATCTTATATTTTTCAATAAATTATGTATTTAATTAGTACCCTGGTATACTCGTGACTTCCCTTGCATTCAAATTTAGAAAACACAGATATTTCAGAAACTGTTTGAAAAAGTGACTGGCCCGGTCTGGAACAGTATATTTATTATATTATCTATGTTCTCATAACAAAATACTGTTTAATTTTCTCCGAAAACTATATAAACAAACTGAGGTCAAAAGTTGCCCAACTTTTGTAGAATCGCCCATATAAGTTAAAAGCAAAACTTGGCAACACTGTGTATGCCATAAGAAAAAATTTAATCCACATCAAATAACGGTTAACAATCGTTATCCTAAGATGAAAAAAAATCAAAACTTTATTCATATTTCTTGGGAATCTTTATAATACACCCAGTAGAAAGAAAAATTAGTCATGGAGAAATTAAAACATAAAACATGACTAATCAATATTTTGTGAATTTATTACGGATAAAAAGGATATTTACGTAAGAAAATGGAAAGCTCCCTACATCCGTTTAAATAAACTAAAATAAATATTCACAAACACTAAAGAATGTGGCAAAATAGGTTAACAACAAAATTGCACGGATAAAATTATTTAAACCGTCTACGCCGAACACCAAACAGAATGTTAAACGGTCGCAGCATTATTATTGCAAAACGGCTGGATCGTAAACCTACACGGAGAGAAAAGTATAATGCTGATTACCATAATTATAATACCCTTTACTATAATTTATATTACTATTTGGGACAACTATCTTGTATATTGCCAGATACTATGCATATTTGGTAATTTTTAAACATCCATGTATGTTAAACCTTAAGGTAAAATATTATTATTCTCAACCAATTTTGTTTTTAATTCTTATTATAATTAGATTATTTCCATTACTGATAAGTATAGTATATTTTAAAATATTATGTTGCCATCTAAAATATAAAATATTTTAAAATCGAACATTTTTATATGTTAACAATTAAAAATTGTAACATATTTATTGTTCTTTATACAAAAATGTTATGAGAAAGAATTGAACCTACACCTCGCCAAAGCTTTTTGTTTCGAGTGCGTTCCATCAACTTCAAATACCGACAGACAGGTGTTTTGACCTATATCGACACGACACTGTCGAGCAACTTGTAGTAGTGGAACACACCCAAAACAAAGAAATACCTGAACTTATATAACATGGTTGGTAAGCCAACAGAGGCGAGATGTAAGAAGATCACGTGATCCACACCGTCTAACGACGCGTCGCGACGTGGCCTTTGCCGCAATCGGTACATACTATGCAACCAAGTAGGTTCAATTCTTTCTTATAAGTATTACCAGTAATGGGCCAAGAAAGTTTATTGAAGAAACTAAGAAAATTGAATGTTTAAAATGTCATGAGTTACTATATTGTATATTATATTTAAATATATTATTTATTTACCTTAAACATAAAAGTATCTTTATTTTTACTATATTTTTTTTATTAATGTGTAATATATTATAATATTAAATGTACACCTTACATTTGATTAAATCATATAGTAAATATTACTATTTGTAGATGGTAAAATCAATTTACTATACGAACATATTAAAAGTTAAAATATATATTATACATTTTTGATTTAGTAATATTGGTGTTGGAGTCTTTATTAAAATTGTATTGACGAATATATAATATTGTTACCCTAAAAATTTGTTAAAGTAAATTTTACAATATTTCTTTTACTATCTAAAATTTACTATACATTTCTCTCCGTGTATCGAGAATTACTTGTAAGATTAAGAGTAAGTAAGTAAAAGACCGTCTCAGACACTCGGGCAGTTTTCGTTCTCAGCGGCGGGTGAAAAGTTCCTCTTCTTCTTCTTCTGCTTTGGTAACCGGCCGCCGAGGCGAACGTTAGTTGACACTTATCGGCTCCGGAGGTCAGCATTTCTTTCGAGACCGCTCGCTCGCAACCAACGTTATCGTTGCTGCTGGTGCACCGCTGCTTTTAACGGGAACGAGCGCTTTTTTACTTGTTGCTTTGCTTTTTTCAACGCGTCAGTGAAATTTAAGAGTTATGCGATCTTCAGTGCGAATTCTGGATAACGCATGTTGGAGCATGTTGAGTTAGTTGGAATTTTAGTTTGTGTTTTAGAAAAGAGTTCCACAAAGTATTAACAGGTAAGTCAAATAATTTATATAAAACGTAAATAATTGTATTATTAAAAGAGTAAACTATAAAATACATAAAATAAAAAAATGCATGTGGTATTCGGATTGAGATGAGATATTTTGCTAATTTAAGATTAACAAATCAATCAATAAATTAAGAAAACCGTAAGATAAAAATAAAATTTATAATTAAATAAAATATGACACGAATAAATATATTAATAAAATTAATTCTATCGATTTTTTCTAATATAGGTAATACCTATTAGGTATATTAAATTTTTTCATTGTTCAAAAATATTTTTTTAATAAAATTTACTTAAATTAATAAATATTGGTTTCTTTAATTTTTTATATTTTTGCCGCATATTTGTTTTTAATACCAATAATAATATTATTATAAAATAAATTAATTATAATTATTTGCAAAAATGGCGAATGCACCGGAATTTCTAGCAATTATTAGCGCATTCACCATTTTTTATTTAGATATCGTTTTTTACATATATCAGCCCAAATTTTTCATAAATGGTTTTAATATAAATATTTAACAATTTTAAATTATTATAAAACTTAACAAATATATAGACTTGGTTTAACAATTTTTAATATGAAAGTAAAGTATTAACATATAAAAAATATTATATTTTATCTATTTACATAAGGTTTTAATTTATTATTTTTACCAAATAATTTTTATTATAAAAAAAATTGTAAAAGAAACGTCACAGAAATATTTTTTAAATTTTTAAAATTTACTGTATATCTTTAAAAAAAAATCTTGCGTTTTGCGTAATTAAACCTATCGTAAATAACAGTTTTCCACAGCAAATTTAGACAACAGAACCATAATCGAGCCATGATCCAGTTGCAGAAAATAGCAACCTATATATTACATAATAGTATATTATGTATCAAGTTTGATAAACGCCATTTTATACACGAATTTAATTTAGGAACGAGCGAGTGCTGTTAATGAGTGTATAGAAAAGTTTATAAACGAGGTGCATACTATAATTTTTCTACGACAAATACTTATTATTATCTTAAAATCATTTAAATCAAAAATTTGTATACAGCGCCATCTATGAAACAACAGGTGAAACTGTCAAATGTCACATTTTAAAATTTTATAAACACAATTATAAAGGTTATAAATCGAAATGTATCTTAAAAATTGACAGTTTTTCACAGTGAAAGTAAAGAAAATGTTTTATGAGCACTTTACAGTGGAGTCCGTGCCCGAATTTAAGTTATAGTTTACTACCGGCGAAATTAAAAGGTCAGTACAATGTTCATATAAACTTTTCAAATATTGGCGTTGAGAAACTATTTAATACTTTCGTATTTTTGTTTTGAGATAATAAAATAATTTTCACATTTAGTATTATTTTACAAGAAAGGCACTTTATTTTAACGATTGTATGACATTTGACAACTGGCAACTAACTTCAGCCCGTGACTAAAAACCTGTTGCTAACTTCAGCCCGTGACTAAAGCGCCATAAAGCCACAACTTGTCAATGAGTATTTAAAAGGTCACTTAATGTCATGAAAACATGTCCGATAAAGGGCGTTTTAAAGAAAAAATAATTAAATAAAATTGTAAACATCATAATAACATTATTTTTGTAATTTTAATAATTACTCTTTATTATATTATTACGAACTATGAACTAGTAGTCTAGACACTTAATTATTAAGTTAATTTAAACCTTGTTTATTGTTTGTTATTTTTTGACCAATTAGGTAATACATAAGATACTTACCTACTCTTTATTTTATTATAACGAACTATGACCCAGTAGTAATTTTAAAACAGACAATTTTATAATTACTTTTTATTTGTATTCCAAAGGCACTATATACCCCCTGTACATTGAGAAGCAGTAACATTTGAAAAAAGGCTAGTACCTACCTCAAATAATCGTCCATTCGGTTATTTTTGATTCCCGTAAGGTTTGGGAACAAAAATAGTAAATATTAACTAAATTATAAAATTATAATTTATAAAACAATTTAAACACTCTTAATAGCTATAGTAATTGTAAAATTTGCACTCAAATTTTTATTCAAGAATTACTGTTAAATTTTAATTAAATTATAAGCTGCACTACAACCGATTTAAAACTTCTTTCCTTTTGTGAGTATTTTTGGTTAAATGATGATTAAATATCACAATGTTTTTATTTTTTTTATCATCATCATATTAAACTAAATTGCAAAATAAATTGGCACATTAATGGCAATATAAATTCTTAATGGTGCATTATATTAATGAATGCATGATAAATAAGTAGGTGTCGGATATTTATTGTTATTATTGTTTTAAAATAGGAAAATGCAATATAAATAACCTAGTTACCGAGTTATTGTAAAATTGCCGGAAATTACCTATGCATCAATACAAACAAATATGTTTTTGTGATCCATGGAAACAAGATAACATTTAGAAATCGACGGAATATACAATGTTTTGGGCAAACACGCATCAACATTCGCTAAATTTTATTGTTCATTTATACGAACAAAATTAAATTTTCGCACAATGGCGGGAAAGTCATGTTTGTTTTCGTGGGAACCGTGAAAGTCAAATTATGTTGTGATCCAAAGTTTGCCGATACGTCACACCATGCCGGACGACTTTGGCTGACATATATTCAGTCTTTTGGCCCAAAGAACTACATTTCGTCTTGTTCATGAATAAACGCCTCGCTTCTTAGCGGTACCTTGCGACGTTGTCGAACCTCACCAAATTTAAGCGAAGTTATGGCCGAATGCGAAAATAATTGCTAAGAATTGATGGTCGTTCAAAAATTATTTGATGGTTTGAACAATATATGCAATATACCCATAGGTACTAAAATTAAGTATTTTACTGATACTAACAAATCACATATAGCCTTATATAAATTACAATATATACGTAAGAAAATAACTACTCACCACAGTACTGAAATTTTGACTGAAACTATACGTGCATTCACCACAACTTTGCCGCTTGCATTGTTTTCAAGATGACTGTCGTGCAAAGGGCGGGCTCTGTAGGTAATTTTTTACCAACACTTGAGTTAAAACGAGGACTTGACGTTTAAACTTCAATATTTCGCAGGAATTTTGAATTTTAACATTGGACATGGAACTGACGGGTAAAAGTGAGTACAATTTGTACTGTACAAAGATTATCAATTTTTTAAAAAAATGCTATTATTCGAATCTATGATAAAATATGAAAAATACATTATTTAATGTTTTATAGTTTGTAGGGAAATTGAAAAATTTAAGATAAATTGAATAAGTATATTTTAAAATAAAATCACTCAAATATTTGATTCAGGAGTGGTGACACGCCAAGGTACTGAATATTTATTATGTTTTTCTACAAACGTGCTTTTGAAAAAATACATTAAAATTGGGTGGACAAGTTAAAAAAAAACTGTATCTTTTGTAATATACTAAAATATTTACAAAACATATTAAAATACCTACTCTATTGACTGATGACATCAAGTTGTCCAACTTTTGTAGAATCACCCATACATAGACTTTAACAAGATTTCATCTCAAAAATATTGGTGTTTTTTTCATAAATAAAAAGAATTACTAGTGTTTAATGGTTTTGATTTCAATAAATATTTTTTTTATAAAAATCATAAAACAGCTATTTTACGAACTAATTAACTTAAACGCCCTGATAGCAGTTATGTGTGAAACAATTTGTAATTCATTTTAATTGAAATCATTTGTACGAATCATTAATTTGAGTTGTAAAACCGGCTTTTTCAGATCTTCTTTAACTCTCAAGGAATATAACGTTTTACAAATATGATGCAATAAAAACAAGTATTAGATATTAAATAAAACAAACAAGCAAATAGACCATCATTATCCGTATAATATACTTCTTTATTTCCAATATTAGCCGAGGCAGAAGCAGTTATTAGCTTTTTTTACTTTCACCCGTTTATGCGGTTACGCCATAATGATATAACGGTATCAGACAGCAGTTGCTTATTTATTTATATTCATTTTTTCGTCCAATTTTGTTTAATAATAACAGCATGGTCAGTGGAGTAGGTTAGAGGAGATGTAATCTTAGATACAGTTTCGAGTTTTATTTGGCAACTATTTATTCTCCTAGTGCATGTTGTATAATGAAGTTGTTTAGCTGTCGATTTAAAAGAACCTTTTGGAGTTGTTGTGGTGCAATGCATACCTTAAAAACAAATTAAAGATTCCAAACAAAGTAAAAAAGATTCTCTCTTGTTGAAGGCAAGTAAAATGAATGTCTACATAGAGAGAAAGTCATGATGTGGTGACAATTCCACCTGTTCATTGGTCGATCGGACAGAAGCTTATATAGATTATAAACTGTTATATAACATGAATAAACACTTAAGCATAAGGAACTGTGACCCAGTTGAAAAGCAAGTACAGTTAACGTGGTTGAACCATTAGCAAATTTATTTAGGAATTCCACGTTCAGCTTCCTGCCAATCGTACGCACTACTATAATTTTCCGATTTAATCGTCGGTTATTTTGTGATCTACTGGACAGAGACCACAGTTAACTCTTTGCAAAATTCTTAAAGACATAACATGCGTTATGCAATAAATATAATAAAGAGAACATTAAAAATCAGTATATGACCCCGATAGCACTCGTGGGTGTTATTAACCGCTAGTCCAATAAAACCCTAATTATCGTATTCTTTGCGCATACCTTCAACCATTTACGTCCGACAATGTATTAATTAGCAAATAATTTTCTCCAAAACAATATTTATATGAAATTCGTCAGCCGAAGGTGTCATATAACGGACCCTCTCGTCTTCGTGAGCGACCATGAAGTTGGTCAAGGTTAAGTGGTGACCTTGCCCAGGTCTGGTGACCCACTTCGTAACGGAGATCATTAGGAAGTAGATGGAATGCTCGTTATAATCGGAGATATGTATTTAACTGGCGTGGAATATCTTTGCGTGCACTGACTGACTCGGAGTCAACGATTCATTCGGTAGAATTACAGTGGCGTACCATAAAAAATATCAACAGAATATGTTTAGTACCAATTTGTAAATTCATTTTTATTTTCAGACACAATGGAGCTAAAATACGTTATAATGACGTTAATCAAAATTTTGATCTCAGTACCTACAGTACTCATCGTACAGAACATGGTGTGTTTAGAGGGTGCAAATGGTGCCGCCCTTATGGGTGGACATTTCGACAATAAAAATGCGACGCAGAATGTATCGAGCTCATACTACCTCGACTATTCTTACGATGATTCCATTGAACCCGAGGAGGTATCAGAGAAAAATACAACAGTGAGTATAAACGTAACATACACAATAACAAATACTAAATTATGTATTTTTAGGATCCAAAAGAATCGAAGACTGAAGAAGAAAAAAACTCCGAGGAGATACCGGATCCATCTCCATTAGTTTTACCAGGATATAATCTCCCAGAAAATATTTTCAATAAAGGAAAACCTTTTTACCTGGAAAAAGATCCTTTGACCGGCCAGATAGACTTTAACAGCAAAACGCCATCTATTAAACTGGACGATGAGCTCTACGACTATACTGACGATGAACCCAGCGACAATATTTACGATAAAAGCAACATAGATAGAAAGGATGGAAGCCTAGGAAGTCACCGGCCTAGCGATGTCAATCAACTTACGCCAAACTTTCATGACTTCCTAAACTTGCCTGTTAAGTATAATTCCGATAAATATGTTGTTCCGTTGATTTCAAGTTCTTATGCCAACACGAAAATTCAAGGAAATGTAAATAAATTCCACAATCATAAGGATTATAATCAGAAAACAACAACAAAAAAACCGACGCAAACGCCAACTTATTATTCAACGAATAAAAACTACTTTAATCCAGAGAGGAGAACTACAACTACAAGTACTACAACAACCACGACTACTACAACCCCGAAACCAACTACAAGAAAATCTGTGCATGATATATATCTCACAACTAAAGCTACGAACTTATTAAACAACGCTATGGCGCATCCAATTAACGAAGAGTTCGTTTATTATGAAAATACAAAGCAACCTTACAAACCAAACGAAATTTATCTCACCACTGAAAACGTTAACAATATCTACCTTACGTCTAAAGCCCCCATCACAACCACCAAAAAAGAATTGACTTTATTTGAACAACTTTTTGGCGATTACGATGAAACTGTTTCGACAACTGAAAGAACAACGGAAAGAACAAGACCAACAACATCAACAACAACGACCGAAAGGACAAAACCACCAACGTTGTTCCAAAACTTACCGAACAATAAATATACCAAAAATAAATACGACAAAGAAGAGAAAACCGAGAAGCCCTCGTATACCACTACAAGCACGACTCAAGCTCCGACATACTACTACCCGAACTCCCATGCTGGGCCCAATGTGCTTACTGGAAGCAATATGGGAATAGACACTAATGAATATGAAGAGTATGATGAATCCAAATACCATGAAAACAATAACGCCGGGCTCAACTTAAAGGAAATAAATACAACATCAACAGAGAACCCTATAAACACTGAAAAACCCACGCTTAAAACAACTACGAGTACTAGCTCAAAACCGGACAGTTTTGAATATTCTGACGATGAATACGAGGACAAAGAAAACAATACAATTACATCTAGTACAACAACGACGGTAGCCACTACTACAAAGAAGGTAACATCATTACCACTGGGAGATAACCACGTTTCTGGTTTCATAAATCGTCAACCAATTATAGTGGCCACCCAAAACCTGAAACAAAAATTAGATAGTGAAAAAGTAGCACCTAAACCTTTTGGCTTCGAAAAACCGCTGCAGCACGCCCCTAGTACGAGCAATGTGCACATAGCGCCCGATCAAGACATGGTTTCCTTCGTAGTGGGGCACCATCAAAGCGTTGAAGGTGGACAATACACCGGCACAGCTTCCAAGGAAAGTCCCTACGAAAGCAATCCCTTCAAGCCGTTTTATGGACAACAAAACTTAAATGCACACGACTCCGTATCGTACACCATCCAAGGAAATCCGGAAATAAATTTCAAAGAAGAAAAACCCGTTAACACCATCAATTTCCCGGAAACCTCAGGAAGTGCAGTGACCATACAACCGTTAAAAAACAACGAAGCCTCGCTTGCCATCGGCGTTCCAGTTAACGCCGTTCATAAAGTCCCTGGACAGGTGGTGGACGAAGCACTTAACCTTGATGATGAGAAAATCGAGTACCCTAAAGGTAACGGACCGAAAGTTGTATTCCCAGATGAAAAAGACACAACCTTAGCCAATTTGGTACCGCCCCCAATGCAACAACCCATGCCAAATCATCCCCCCAGAGAAGTGTTGAAACTGAACTCCAAGCCAATGTACCATCAGTTACCCAGCGATTTAACGCCACCTAAAGAAAAGGTAAATCACAGTTATTCGAGATTAATTTTTAATTACATACACAACAGTGCAATTAAAAGTAATAAATACTGCTGGTTTAGTAAAAATAATTGCACAAATTTGTGTTATATTAAGTAACTGTATATACAAATATAAAAACTATTAATTAATTGCCAACATTATTCATACGATTAACTGTTATTATAGCAGTAATATTACAAAATAATTTCGTAACCATTTATTGTAATTATTTTAGGAACCCTCTATGCCTCCGAGATTCGATCGGCCCCGTCCTCCATGGGATCCAAGACCAGGACACTTTTACAGCGGCAAACCCGAATACAATCGCCCGCCACGCCCACCAACCGACCACGCATACAAAAGAATCGACACGCTACCAAATATTCTACCACAATTTAGACCGAACATGAAAGTCAACCATCCACCACCCCCCTACTACAGACAACCACTCTTGGAGAGACCGTCCAATAGACCGATAGCATTCTTCGAGAAGCTGCAACCGCCGCCACCACCGCCAGCCCATTATCTGCACAACCTCCAGAACTTGAGAAAGATTCCGCCGCCTCAGCAAAGCTTAGACGATTCTAGACCCATGATGGCCGAAGACAGGATCATGAACGAAGGCAGGAAACCATTAAGGCCTGAAATTCAAAACCAATTCAGCTTCTTATCGCCACCGAAGATAGCTATTGCCAACAGGAGGAATGGAGATGACGATGCTGAAGTAGAAACCCTGCAGATGATACAGGCCAAACATTCAGATAAAAAAGAAGTCATCCATACAAGTAACGAACAAGTTGTTAAAACTCCTGAGGTAACTGAAACTGTAACCATGGTCAAGGAAGGAACAGATAAGCCTTTGTACGTAGTGTACCCAGTGAATACACCACCGATTAAACTCGATGTTATCGACTCCAACAACAAGGAAACTGTCGTGATTGGTACGAGAGCTGAACTACCTCTACCGCCTTCCAAAATTAATACCGACTTCCACTACGATCATGATCCGTTATTGCTGGCGAAAGATAGACATGACGCTCCAATTTTAAAACCTCATCCTAGACCACCAACCTTCCCTGCTAGATCCGACTTTCCCTACCCACTGGAAAGACCAGATCCATCTGTAAGTCACCCCGCAGTGCCCGAGGCTCAAAACAACTTGGACAGCGACGAACCCAGTTTTATTTCGGGAAATCAATGGAATACGATGGGCGACAATATCGAATCCAGGATTGTCTCGGGTGGAAACAAACACAACTCCAATCAAATTTCCGTGACTCTAAAAACGTACACGGAAAAACCTATCGCCGTCGCGTATACTCCTACGGAACCGAACTCGAGTAAAGACAGATTTTCCATGCCCAACTACGCTAGTCCGGTGATTCCGGAGATCAGGCCCGGCAGCGTGGAAACGGCCGACAGCAACGAATTCACGGTCAGCGCCGTGATGCACACTCATCCGCAATTCGCAGTAGGCAGCGCGGAGTACGTTAAACCGGGAAAAATCTCCGACGAATCGATCTTCAATGTAAATCATCGGATGGATAATGAAGTGTCCAAGATCCCGTCCAAGTTGGACGACTTCCAGGCGCCTTTCCAGGCCAGCGACAACATCGATTCTTCCTTGAATCAGGGTTGGGCTGTGGTGAGAGACAACAGGGAGAAAAACAAAACCACAACTCCGGAAACTGAGGTGACCACGATACCTTTCGCCACGACTAGCGAATTCGATATCGAGAATTTCAAGCCTCAGCTCGAAGGTGGTTTCAAACCGATCTACTATTCCAGTGCGGAGAAGAAGGGTTCGGAAGTAAACGAAAGGGAAGAATAAACGACTTTTAAAGTGTAAAAATGACTTTCGGTGTCGGTGGGGAAATCAAGTGAAGATTGAGGTGCATAAAACTGGGACTGGTGCGGTGTGCTTCGATTATCACTAATAAGACTTTGTATAAACGCGTTTAATCGTATTTAAGTTATAGTTAAGGAAAAGACTGTTTAAAAGATGTACTAGACAACTGTTGTAGTTCTAAGTATTTATTTATTTATGTATTTATTTTTTACAATAAAACTGTGTTCTAATAACAGATGTGTTTTTGGAGAATATACATATATTTTGCAGTTGTAAGAATGGGGAAACTTGGATAATTGACAAATCTATTTCGGTGAAAATGACTCTATTTTTATATTATTCACCTTAAATTAAAGTGATTTATTATTCAGTTGTCAATGTTTAGTGCGAAAAAGTAATGAAGGAAATCTATTAATATTCTATGACCAATGAAAATTAAACCATGCAAGGGTATTTCTCCCAAAATTATTCAGGTAAACAATCCTGATTTTATTTAAAGAAACAATTTGGGTTCAATGAACATTTAGCAACATTTTCGAATGCGTTTTAAAAATCTTTTATAAAAATATGACAGATAAATAGCGAAGTGGAAAGGAACTCGCGACTCCAATAATAATTCAGCAATAGTCTAAATTTAAAATTTACGCGAGGCAGTCGCTGGCCAAACGTGCTAAAAGTTGCGTCCAATACTAACTATCCATAACCTCTCAAATGTGCGTGTTTTTATTGTGAGAAGCGACAGTATTTTCAAAAATGTTGGAGTGGACTTTTAAATTGAAACAATGATCAAATATTACTTTTGCAGTTTTTATTTTAAGTTTCAACAACTGAATTGTAAGTAGCTACGCTTTGATGGTATTTTTGTGGGATAAAATTAATTTGGAATGACAATGTATTTTTTTGTTAAACACTGTTTAAACTAAATTGATAAATTTTGTCAAAATATGTTTGTCTACCTACTACCAAGTGCTTTAGGTTTGCCAAGTTTAAGCAATGATGTCAATACGATTTATAATATGTATTAGACAACATTAGTGAACAAAATGCTTACAAAAAATAGTACATAAATATTTTATGGGTTCACATTTTACGATAAAGATAACATAAAAAATGCTATTAATAATATACACAAATAACTACAATAGCCAATATATACTTTATATGGAACACTCTATAACATAATTTAGGATTGTTTCGATGAGCAACTAATAGAGTCACGATATTGCCTGAACTTGTAGTTTGAAGTGGATATAAAGTATAAGCATATAACAAATCCCTGAATAGAATTCAAAAAATTAAAAATATAATTAAAAAGTTGAAATTCAGAAAAAACTGCTATAAAACCGAAAATCCAAGACAAGCCGAAAAGAAAAAACAAATAATTAGTAAGCTTAGCTATTTTCCAGCACATATCATCCTGATTGTTTTTAACTAATGTGTGAACAATTTTAAATAAATTATAAGTGTTTACGGCTAAAATGCATCCTAAAGGAAGTATCACTGCTACTTTAATAAGAAATGAGGACAAATAACAAATATTCGCGTTGTTTCTGTGGTAGTTATCCAGGGAAATCCGAGCAACCAAGATTACCGGAAATGCAGGCAGAAGCCAGCCAGCCAAGCAAGATTTGATTATGGTTCGATTATTATAAGAATTAAAAACGACAACGAAACGACGGTATTGAAAGAGCGCAAAAATTAGAGACCAACTGGATTGCGATAGTATAGAATAATGAAGAAACATTCCTGCAATAATACAGGAACAATGGCCTTTCACAGAGCCCGATATAAACAAAGCTAAAGGAAGCAGCAGTGTACTTATAAGGAACATGATGATGAGAATGCTATTTTTTCTTTCCAGTGTATTTCTGTTTATCCACGATACGGCGCAAACCGCCACTACTCCGGTAGAAGACAATCCAAATCCTGCTATAGCGATTATAGTAGCCAACCAAGTGTCTTTCACCTGCTCATCGAGTAACATTCCAAAGTGGGTCATGTGATCATACCCGCACACCAAATAGTCAGCGTCTACTTCCAAAATATTGCTCGTATCGATCGACCACGATCCCCTTATGTTCATTTCATCGGTCCTTCCGTATGCCCAATAAGCACAAGAGAAGTTGGCGCCCATTTTCAAACTCTTCTTTATAATAACATACATGTAGGAACTGAAGGTACAATTAAAATCCGGTATATCTATGCTGACCACCCAACTAGCATTATCGACTTTTTTGTTTTCGTTAAATAGATTATCATTCGCAAAAAACGTGTATATAACTTCAAAATCATCCAAGTTTTCGTAGGCTTTAACCTCCTCGATTAATTCGACAGTCAAAAAAGCTGCAACCTCAGGCCTTTCAGCAATAACTGAATCCAGTGAAGATGTATTTTGAATCGGCCTAAACTCACCAAGAGCACGATACCAGCCAACAATACCGGACGATATATTGGTTTTTCTCACATGCACCAAACTAAAATTCAAATTGATGTTGCTGTTGTAGTCCGACAAAAGGTGATCCAGGCCATTTAAAAAAATATCTGTCGAGTTCATCTTGTACTGAGACTGATTAAGAACATTCCTATCCCCTGACATAACGTTATCGATTATATTTAAATAGTTTTCAACTGTTAAATCCGTCATATTCACGTTTTTAGAATCCACATAATTCGTCATTATCAAAGCGGTGTAGTGCGTTTGCATGTTGCTTAATTTAGTTTTAAACGTTTCCGAAAAATTACTCAACTTCTCTATGACCACATCGGATGTTGTATCAGTGATGTTTATCAGGTCGTAAACGTATTTTACTTCCAAAGAACATGGTGTATATTCTCCACTTATATTCGACCAATATGCCCCTTCGTCCTTGTCATTTAGACAAGTTCTAGTCACAGGCGTTCCGCAACATTCTAAAGGTACTATGCTTTTGCCGACCTCCGTTTTATTCCACGTCAAGTTAACACTGTTTACATTAATGATATCTTTCGCGCAAAACTTCATATTCCTTAACTCCTGTATGTAAAAGTTATCCTTAGTCTTTCCAGCCAAGTCTTTAAACCATACGGTATCATTTGCGTCTTGATAGTCGATATATAGCAATATACACCATTGCGTCTCAGTGTACACCAAAATTTTTGATGGGGTAGATACACACTTTTTATCGCATATTTGCTTTACTTCGTCTGTGATTTCAGTTAGCATATCCCAATCAAAAGGAGTGGCTTTGTTAATGGGTTTAATGTACATCACTAAATCGTTTTTTTGAACGTTAGTTTGACGCACTTCCAATTGATTGCTTGCTATAATTTTTTGAGAAAAAATATCGAAACCCTTGCAGTAGAAATACTTTGCGATCGTTTCGTTGACGCAAATTTGGGAACTTTTTTCCGTGACAATGTATGTATTGAAAAAAGTGGTAATTTGAGTTGACAAGTAGCATATAATGGTTTTGTCCGGAAAATGATTAATGTTGGATATGTCAAACGTAATGCAACGTGAAGTTGTATTCAAATTCAATTGAATCGAAGCGGCAGGATATTGCGTAGTGTTGACTTCACAAATGGCGCAGTCCAGTTCGGTTATGTTGTCTGTCAAATACCAATTAGAATCGGTTGTGTATCCGTAAGAATCATTTTGGATTTCTCCAGTTGGCATGAGATCTAAGTACCTCAATTGTTTATCGGGTTCCCAGTATAAGTTGGCGTATCCGTCAGAAACCAATCCGATCCAACAATGTCTATCCAGTTCTTTCAAATAATGAACCCCTTGGTAATACTCGATGAAGTTGGCTAAATTATAACTGCAAAAATTGGACCTGTTGGTTGCCACCTCGTTTATTTCCAAGTAATAGCAAACTTGATATGGAAATAGGCACACCATGTTTTTCCCAAAAACACTCGTATCTTCAACTATGAAAACTCTACGATACAAACAAAGCATATTTAGGTTGGTGTTGCAATCGTAAGGAACAATGTTGTTGCTTGGTAAATAAACCAAGCAGTTTCCTTCCAATAGCGGCATTTCGATATACACATCGTCGTAGACACTCTTTCCATAGTCAGAGGCGGTCTTCCAAAGAAAAGGCTGATTTCTCGCCTCCCTTCGTGCCGGCAAATACGTTGTGATGTTGAGCTTTTTCAGTATCTCAATATCGTAGTACAATCCAGGATACGGACAGGTGAAGGATTCATTGTAGGTCGCGTTTTGTATTATTACATAGCAATACCGATTAGACGATGTTTCTTCGAACATATAACCAGGGGGACAGTTGGTTTCGTTGAGGCATCGAGAATCTAGAAAGAATAAAATTGAATAACAAATTTATTTAAAAAAAATAAATACCTACGACTTGGCTGTATCTCACATAACAAAAACACAAGAACGCAAAAAATAAACTTGATCGTCATTGTAGAGATTTTGTAATGTGTACAGTGTATGAAATTTGATGTTATCCATATGTTAGATAATTATTTCTAAAAGCATGTCAATAAACTTCAATTTTCAGATAAAACTGCATTAGCTTTCCGAATGAAGTGTTTAAAGTAATGATAACTACCAATAGATAATTTTTATTTTGGTAAAATATTTTATAATAATTATTAAATGTGCATAAATTAAGAAAATATAACTTAGATGTAAGTTAATAAATGCTTTTAAACTGCTTGAAATACATTCAAGGATTTGACAGATGTGTTGGATAACAAGAAGTCATTTGATTTGAATTTTTTTTTAATTTTGCCAATTTTAATTTAATTGGAAGAAATCCAAAATAAAATAATAATTTATAGTTGAAATCGTCGTAGTTCATTTGAAATAATGTTTCAAGAAACTGACTAATAAAATTAGAGACCAAAGCAAAGTTTTATCTGCTTTAAAATAATGTTTTCATAATTTATCGCAAACTTCCGCCGATTTGATGTCGCAAGTTTGTAATTGAAATTCAAATATGCGCCCATACACAAAAGGACATGGTTTTTATTACCCTTGCTGCCTTTTACAAATTTTATGGGTGATTAATTGAATAATTACATCGGCGGTACTCAGTGATTTAAATTCTCACAGTCAAGTTGCCTTTCAGGTTCTTTATAACAGACCATGAACGTTACTGATCCAGAAACTGAAGCCATTCTAAACAATTCTCGTTTTTGGATACAGAGAGTCATAGTTCCTTTGGTAGTATGTATTGGAGTGGTTGGCAACACCGTCACCGTCATGGTGCTCACCAGGTGAGATTTGATAACTAGTTATTATGGTTTATTTTTTATATATAAGGATTTTAAGGAGGAGGATGAGGAGTTCTACGAACATATACCTATCTGCGCTGGCGATAGCTGACATCCTGCACAATTTTTTTGTGCTGGTGCTATCCTTTAAGCATTACCCGAATGTACACGATAAAAAATATGAGTTATTTTGGAGATTCTATGGAATATCTCATTGGTTATGCGATGCAGCAAGTAAGTATAAATAAATCGTTTATGTATTTTTTAAGCAAAATATTTATTTACATTCACAAAACTAGCTAATTTACCAGATGTGCTACGAGTAACCAAACATGAAAGCAACCATTATTTAGGAATCCTCAGATTGGCGATCAACCAAGTAATTTACTTAAATAAAAATCGAATCCTGACAACGGATTGACGTTCGGAGTACAATTTACAAATCACTGTTTATATTTAGCCGCACAATAAACTCATTGCCTTCTAAATTGGCTTAAAGTTACACTTGCACCTGCCCACGACTTACGTAAAATTAAATGGTCTTTGGGAGTTTTTAAACAAACAACCAGTATTTAAAAATAAATATCGTTAACCACGTATAAACACGTTAAAGCAACAACATTTATTATGAATACATTTATTATGCTCTGTTTAAAGCAGTTTAAATATAAACATGCAAGCATAAAAATTAACAAGTCATAAAAATATTTCTATTAAATCTAATACAGTCTGCGTCACAAGGACGTGTACAAAAGATTTATTCTGCGATGCAATTGTACTATGCTCCACACCTCAAAGTCCCACCACGTGACCATGTAAATTTGAAAATTTGGCATTTAAGGCTTTTCAGGTTATGTATCTGTCAAAGTATAGTCAACGAAAGAAATAATATTTATAGTGTTACCGCTTATGTTTAAGCGTTAAAAGTTAATAAATCTTTATAGTATCACAATAACAATGGTTGGTTTAAGAATTTAGGAATATAAATACTACATTTAATGAAATTCCAAAGTGTAAGGTGCAATATAAGTGATATTTTTGTGCATTGGGTCTACATTTCTCCATAAAATAGTTTTAACTAAACAGCATTTATTAAAAAAAATCTAACTTCTCTATTATGAAATAAGAATATCTGTATCAAAGGCAGGTTAATGTATTAGAACAAAAAATATCATCTAATTTTGTATTTTAAGGTTAGAAAAATATATTTTGATCAAAATAAATAAGTGGAATATTTGAAAGAGTGTGTTAATATGGTCATAAATAAATAAAGGTATACTAAATAATTGTTGAATAAAGTTCAAATTAAATTGAAGCTTTTATACTTCTAACGACAAAACTTGTGCATACCTCTCGGCATACTTACTTTAAGTTAGATTATAAGTTATAATGATTTTTTGATGTAGATCAAATTCAGTCGAAGCTTTTTAACTATTTGTATTGACAAAACTTTATGTAGGTACACTTTAAGCTGGATAAGAAAAACTACCCCATTTTTAAATACCATATTCAGTCTTTTAAATAATCCAAAATACTTATTTATTTTGGTCAAAATAAATATTTCTAACCTTAAAATTACAAAATTAGATGATATTTTTGTTATAATATATTAACCTACGTTTAATACAGATATTCTTATTCCATAATAGAGAAGCTAGATTTTTTTAAATAAATGCTATTTAGTTAAAATTATTTTATGGAGAAAACCAGATATTTGGACCAAATGCACAAAAAAAATACTTATTTGGCACCATACACTTTAGAATTTCATTCTTAAATTCTTAAACCATCCATTGTTATTGTAATGTTATAAAGATTTATACATTTTTAACGCCTAAACATAATTATAATTATATTTCTTTCGTTGACTATACTTTGACAGATACATAAGCCTTAAATGCCAAATTTTCAAAAGACTGCGTTCCGTACGTGGTCACGTGGTGGGACTTTGAGGTGTGGAGCATAGTACCATGGTACCATCAATTAAATGTTTCTTTGTAAAATAATGCAGAGATGTCAATGACCAATTAACAGGCTTCTTAAACTTAAATTGACTAGATGTAACTTGGTCACTTTGAATTTTAGGCAGCACCTCAGTATGGTTGACCGTATCCTTCACCTTGGAAAGATACATAGCAGTATGCCACCCGATAAAAGGAAAAGTCCTTTGTACTGAAAACCGAGCCAAAAGCATAATCTCCATAATCTACATATTCTGCCTTCTGACCACCATGTCCACGACTTTCGAATACCAGTTAACTCTGGAAGAGTCTTGCATCAAGCAGTGTCCGGTGCAGCCTGCGAAGAAAACCCAGTACACGACGGGTAACTTAATGAACAGCAATGGTACTACGAGCATTCACATTCAACATCACGACAACATCAATGAGATGGCCGGCGATAATCCGAACATTAAACTATACACCGATGCACTGGTGAAGAGCCTGCTGGCGAACTGCAGCAAAAAGCACACTCACATCATCTACATACCAATATCGAACATCACGGCTAATACCGATCTTGTAGAAAGCCAAATCGTTCCGCCTGCGACGGAAAATGTTATCGAAAACGACAACGTCACCTCCACCATGATCACAATGCCGGAAAACGAAACTATGGCAAACAACACGGAATGTTGTTTGAAGAAGTTTACCATAGATACGGAGCCTACGACTCTGGGAAGCAACTCATCGTACTCCACCTTTATGGCGTGGTACAGCGCAATCGTCTTCTTCCTACTGCCGCTCATCGTCATAGCCACCTTCAACTGTTTTCTGATCCAAGCCGTCTATTACTCGCAGAAAGCAAGAAAGGCTATGACGAATTCACAGGTAGCATGAGATTTTAAATGTTTGCCATATTTTATGCTGTTATTTTAGGAAAACATCAGCATTTCGAACGAGAATAGAATCACCGTGATGCTAATAGGCGTGGTTATATTGTTTCTCGTGTGTCAGACTCCAACGGCGACGTTTCTGATATACAAAAACATCCACGAGACGAAAAACAAAAGAGAGTTAAACATCGAACTGAGTAAGACCGTCACAATATTCCTATGAATCGAATAAACGTTGATTATAGTTGCAGGGAATGTTTTCAACCTAATGCAAAGCTTGAACTCCTCATGTAACTTCGTGGTTTACTGCATGTTCTCGAAAAAATTCCGCAGCACATTCAAAAAGCTGTTCTGGGAACGCAGGAAGAAAAGACAAGACACCATAGCGCTGTCGTCCTGCAAAAGTCGCAACTCTCAAAAATTCAATCCGTACAAAGGCATGCGCAGAAATGCCTCCGAGTACATTACCCCAAGAAATTTGGAGGTAACTATTTATTTATTTAACAAGGGCGAATACGTAAATACCTACAACTTTAGACATAACGTTTAAAGGAGGCTGGAAGTTGTATGTATGGCTTTTTCCATTCTTCTAATTCATCCATCGGTAATTTATTTATAATTCATACAAAAATCAAACTAACAAACTCAAATACTAACACATATGTTTTTAGAAGAAAGCAAGAGTACTTTCTTCCACACCACAAAAGGCCCATTGAAATTTAAATGAAGAACAGATACCTAACATAGCTTCGTCGTCATCATAAGGCATCATGTTGACCTTTTTGGTGTGGATGATGGTGTTTTACAAATTTTAAATGAAATATTCATCAATGTTGTATATTAACATTTTATAAACAACTAAGTAATTTTATACTCCATATCACGGCAAATAACCAAGTATATAACTTATGCAACACACATTGCTTCGCACTGTATTTTATAGTATACAGAATGTATTGTTGAAATTAGTTTATACCTTCCCGAAGGTTTTTGATGCGCTAAATTCAAATCCGATCTTAGAATTGGACCCCAAATGCAAAAAGGAACCAACCGACATTTTGTCAAAAATGGGTTTATTACCGCATCCTGGTCAGAATTTTATGCTTTTCCATTTTGCATCTTGCTTGAACTATACCTTAATAGAAAACCACAAAAAACGATATAATTATGCTTTTTTTTTAAGTGTGAGATGGTTTTAAAAAACTTTAAATCCGATTTCCTTAAAATTTTTCTGGTTCCCTTTAGCACAAGGGGGTCCAATTGCTCCATCATATGAAATTTTTACATAAACCTAACTCAAACATTTTAAGTAACGATTTTTCGAAGATACAGATATTGAAAAAAATCAAAAGTGATTTTAAAGGAAGAGTCTTTCAGATAACGTAAGGAATTTTGAGGAGAAAAAATTCTTGTAGTGTAATGGTGTAACCTCAATTATTGAAAAAACTTGATTTGAGGTCGAATTTGGATTCAACACCTCAAAAACCTTCAAAAAATATAGTTCCATAGCTCCAAATTTTAAAAACACACCTACTAATTTAAATGTTTATACAAAAAAAAGAAAAATATTAATTTGTTCGATTTCAGACTCAAAGTTTGACGGGCATTCCACGTTCCAAGTCCCTGATGGTGAGACCGGCGGGCAAAGCGAAATCCACAGACTTAATTGTTTAAGTTTTCAAAACTTATTCGAACTATATTAGTTTCATTTGTGCTTTAAGTATTATTTAAGTAGTGTACAGTGTACATATTATCGTAAGCTTTAAATAAAAAATATTTCTTTTTTAATTGTGTTTGTTTTAAATAAGACATTTTACAACTGGGCGTGCCTAAAATAATGGCGGAAAATATTTTTAGTGTTTTTGGTGTTTGCTGTATCTATATAATATTTTCAACCATAATTCATGGTGTTTATATTAACACCACTTGGTGTTGGATTTAGACACCATTTTAAAATTACTTTTTACACCACAGATATTTTAAACAGTGTACACCCGCAAGATATGTAACTTCGTGACCCTACAGGGGGTGGGCAAAATAATGAATTCCCCAATTGTTAATTTCTTAACTTCAACCCGTGGGCGAAATGCTGCATTATTGTGGGTGTCAGGATCCGGACAGGTACCGACGGTACTGTCAATAGATCATAGATTCAGGTGCATCTTGGTACCCTATGTCCAGCGCCCACTCGAGCGGGGCGCAAGCGCGTTTCGCGCTCTTTCCTACGCGCTGACATTTGAACATCGTCCAGCGCCAAGTTGATCTCTCAGAATAGACCGCAAACCAGTCGCGAGACAAGAGAACGCGCTAATCGTTCGTTAATACAGTGCTGTGCTTTTATTTTAGTGACAGTGGATATTAACCAGACCGAATTTCTGCTAGCATTAAGGTCAGTCTGCAAGGAATTACGGAGATTTCGCTAATTTTTTCGCGGAAAAACGCCAAAATGCAAACATGTGTTTCGCGCTCGACGCTCACTTTCTATCCAAATCCCTGTGAATAAACGAGATACGTTTGAGATAATAATAATAATAATAACATTGCTACTTTATAATTAAACGATAATCTGTACTTAATTATAGCTGTTATCTGAGAGCGGCCACTACAATCAATTAGAATAATAGCTAAGATGCTATGCAAATAAATTATCGGCAATGCTGTTAAATGATTTGTCTGAAAAAAAAATATGCAATTTACCTTGAATTTTAATATATGTTTTGTATTATGTAACCCGCTAATATATTTTGTTTATTTTGTGTCAAATAAATGTTTAAAAATTCATATTGAACCAAAAGATATAGTGTATTTTAATAATTGTATTTGGCAAAATTATTTTAGTTAAATTTAGAATTCAGTCATTGTTTTAAATATATTCAAAATAATGACATAAAAAATAGAATATGCACATTAATTACGTCACTTTCAGGTTTTCATGTTATAAAAAATAAAAACAAATTAAATTTCAATGAATAAATCATACTTTTATGTTTGCTTTAATAAGCATTCCTGCTGATTTATAGCAAAGTTAAAAATTTCAATAAATTTTTATGTTGAAATATGTATGCATGTACTCTTTTTATTTTATTTGGTTTAAACATGAGATCACGGCCGTTTTTATTTTTGAAAGCAAACTCTTGTTTCCTTTTGTCAAGTTAATTGTGGACTTTAGCGAATTTTATTGTTTATGACACGCTATTTGTTCTAGTGGGCATTTTCACAGTTGGGCGATTCCATTATGGCGGGTGCAACATTCAAATGCATTCAAAGTTTCATTGTGATAACTGAAATGTTTTAATAAATTTGAATTTAAATTTGTTCCTGAGAATTTAAATGAAAACTTCATTTGAAGAGTTAATAAATAAATGACAGTAGGCCGTGACAGTTAATTCAGCGGTGCCAATGTGGTAAACATAAAACATTAACAAATTAATTCTTTATTACAAATTAAATTACGATTGAAAACTAAAAACCACATAGAAAATAAATAGGTAACAATATAGCTAAATTGTTAATTTGTTGTTATAATACCAAAATTAAGGTTTAACTGTCATATTTTGTGTTCCTTAAGTAGGCAGCGCAAAATTTGAATTGACAATAATAAATTTGAATTTCAATTTGTTCCTGAGAATTTAAATGAAAACTTCATTTGAAGAGTTAATAAATAAATGACAGTAGGCCGTGACAGCTTATTCAGCGGTGCCAATGTGGTAAAAATAAAACATTAATAAATTAATTCTTTATTGATAATTAAATTTTCATTGAAAACTAAAAACCACATAGAAAATAAATAGGTAACAATATAGCTAAATTGTTAATTTGTTGTTATAATGCCAAAATTTAGGTTTAACTGTCATATTTTTTGTTCCTTAAGTTGGCAGCGCAAAATTTGAATTGACAATTTTAAAAAAGTGCTAAAAGTTTTAAATGAAAAATTGGTTGAAAAGCTAATTTTAATCGGCACATTCGCCATTTTTGACAAACTACTAATTAATTAAATTAAAACTATCATGTATTTTTGTAAATAAGAAGAAATAAGAAATAAAAAATAAGATATAAGAAACTGTTTGTGTTATCGTATAGGATAAATATATCAAATTGTATCACTGAAAATGTTAATTAAGGTACCAAACACTTATAATGAATTAATTAACATTTTCAGTGATAAAATTTGATATATTTATCCGCTATTAGCAATTAATTATTCCCAATTAAATCCAATTAGGAAAAATTATTTAATTGTCCCACATTTGAAATGACGGTCTAATTCAGTAACTGGCACACTGGCAAATTTGAAAAAAATATGCGCGGATCATATATTTAAATTCGTGTATTTTTAGAATTTCGAATACGTGTTTCCAAATAATGATGACTATCTCTTTATATTCAAAACAAACCCAATATTTACGGTTTGAATTTATATTAGTATTCTTTCAAGTAAATATTTAATTATGAAATTGGATCACATACATCAAGTTTTTTGAGATTGCAAGTCAAGTGAAGAATAACATAATGTTATGAATTTAGATTTATTGATTGAATTCGTATGGGGTTATCTTAAGTAAATTATAATTTTTATATCGGGTCCTTTGATATATTCGATTAAATCTATTTAAATATATTTATTTAGAATACATTTTAAGATAGCTGAAAATATATAAATTTGCCATGTTTACATCAAAGAACACGCCAAAATTTTTAAATCATGTGTAATAATAATAATAAATATTAATTATAAAAAGCTTTATTTAAAAAAAAAATATTAAATTGTCTTAAATAAATTTTTATTATACCGTTTATCTTGTAATACAATTCCGAATTTGATAATAAATTATTCCTTACACATGAATAAATTTTACAATGGCATTTCATTGAATATTTTTTACAAGGTTACGTTAACCCACGATTTTAACACCTACTTTTAATAACAAATCGGTAAACATTGACCGCCTTAAATGGGGTGTCAAAAATGTAATTAGTAATTGTTACAAATTCAAATGATCTTACCAAAAGTATTTAAAAAAAAGTATTAAAAAAAAATCAAGTAAAAAATAGTATATTGTGTAAAAAGTAAGGATTATAAACGAGAATTCGTTTGATACAAGAGAGTGGCAAGAATCAAGCATACTTTAAGACATAATAATTTTATTTCGGCTAGGCTTGCAAAAATACCCGCAAATGGCTAGACAGTAAAATTTGTTCTTACATTTTTTAATAAAGAGCGCCCAATATACTATTGTCCCATAACCAAATCAAAAATAAAATAAAATAAAAATTAACACTTTATAAATTGTAGTGTGAACTAACCTTAATAGTATTTTTGACAGATGTGTTTTGGTTTTGAGGTTAAGTTTAATATGTGTTTAATTTATTATTTACAATTGTCTTTTTTTCTTCTACTTTTTCATTGTTCCACTACTGAAACAATAGTATATTGTGCGAGTAGTGGGAGAAAGACGATATTTCATGCGAGTATTTAAAAATAAAAACATAACCTTTGTTAAAAGTTATTTTCAGAAATTATTACATTTTAAAGAAGCATTTGCAGTACAAGATAATGTTGTATAAAAATGATTTTTTTATATATAGAAAGATTTCCTATTTGTACTCAGTTCAAAAGTAAAAATATTATAGACCGCCGTACAATAATGAAAATACATTGATATTACATAGCTCGAAATCAGCAGATAAAATGTAAACTTACAGGTACCTGTAGAATAAATTTATGTACATAACCTATAATATAACATATGTCAAACGATAATTGATTTTTAAACATGTTTCATTTTTAAAGAAAATCAAACAACTAAGAGATTTTAATATTTATTATATTTAACTTAAATTTTTGTTGTCCATTGTACAATTGTATGAATGAACCAAAAACAGATTAGTAATAGTTTTCGTTACGTATCGCCAAAATCGTGACTTTATTTAAACAAAGACACGTCACACGATTTTAATATCGAACTTCATGATTTATTTATATGTAATCTAATATTATTCAAATTATTTACCTTATAAATCGGGACGCGTCATCTAATACGCCGGGCGATGTTTGGAATTCCAAAGAATTTCTGTAAACATTTTGATCCCACAACATCATGACGGTGCTTGTAAACTTAGGTCAGGCACAAAGCAGTTTTGACCAAAAATAGCCATACGGTATAAATGCGACTCTACATTTTTATTTTTTTTTCATACCACTGTGCGCCGCATCAAAAATTACAATAAAAAAATTTGGCGTAAAATCGAATATTTTAAATAATGTCACCTCTTTCCAAGAATGTTTTTTTACCATGTTTTCGAACTCGCAAAATTGATGGAGTTATTAAATTTTTAAGGCCGCCAATAGGATTGCAGTGTTTCTACTCTATACTATAGGTAGTTTTAATTTATATGTTTATTATTGTATATACATATTATGTAGATATAACTTGGTATTTTGTTGTATATAAACCATGAATCCTTTTTATAAAACCATTTCATAACATATAATTTTTTAATCAGCTGTTATGTTAGAAACGAATTAAACGCTAGACCGTTTCGCTTCGCTCAATTACAATTATTAATAACAAGGAATTAAGATAGACGACATGAATCAATTACCCAAGCGGAGTTGAATAAATGGACAAAACGCGTTCACACAGTGGACCATATGGTCGTGAAACGTATCACGACCCACGATGTGTTGCATGCAACTATACGCTGGTCACCAAATATAGCAATACGGCGAAACATTCGCAGGTTCACTTTTATATTTCTTGATATTGTAACGTTCTTAATAAATAGTTATTGCCTAAAGTGATACATTCAAGGAGATTCATAAGCACAGTGACTACCTTCGCAAGATGTCTTGCTGTTCTCAGACAATGTTGCCATATTTTAAAATATCGGTCTAAACGACATTCTGTATAAAGTTCTTTTTTTATCTGGACTGCGGCAACGTTGCAAATTTAGGGTTTTGGTTGGTAAATAGTTGTCAAGTTGGTCGCATTGATTAAAACAAACTAAGCTAGTTATAAATTTAATTGTGGTTATGTATAAATTATTGTAGGTTACATTGTGCAGTTGTCAAGTTGAGTTGTCGAAATTCGTAGTTAAAAATGCAATTATTTTGGCTTTGGTGGTGCTTGGATGAGTAAAATCATATAAAAAAGTAGTTAAATATAGGTTGTTTTACGGCCCAGAAGAGAAAGTATTCCTAGCGGATAATAATCTTCGCTTTGAAAAGAATTTATATAAAAGAAATTATTTTTTTTGTGAACGTAAATGTTGTCCAATAGTGATTAATGTGAAAATAATGTGTGATGTAATATTTATAAAACCAAATTCGTTACTTTTTTACTCCAAAAATGTCCATAAGGCGATGTACTTTTTCTTCCATTGTGGATT